AGTAAGGTTCCATATTACCACCCGATTTTCTCTAAGCCTACTTTCGGACTTTTTGTACAAAAGCCTTCAAAAACCATACTTATAATTACACTAGCGAAAAATCCAATTAGGAACATTTAGTTTACTAGTTACCAGTACTTTTCGCACAAAAAATGTGGGTGTAGTTACGATACCTTGTTTACAATTCACTAAAATATAATTGGGGTTCCATAATACCACCTTCTCCTCTATTATAAAATGTCACTAACAAAAAAAGCAACATTTAGTTGAAATAGTGACCAGTTTCAACCCTGCAATTATTGTAAATTGCGAGTATTGCTGAAATGTAGATGGATTCTACATACCATTTACTTTGAATGTTGTAAACAGACCTCCTATACAACCTCATTTCCAAAGAAAACTGACTGCTAGCTACAGTTGCCAACTGCTTTTCAGTGAATCTCACAAGATGACACTTAAAAATAAGCTATTTATGATTGGAAATGCTAGATTTTTTTCATAAAACAATTAAAAGCCACATAATTCAAATTTTGTACTTTCTTAAAACACATGTAAGCTTAGATCATTGTGAGTATCATGAAACACAACATGTGGACATTCAAATTGCTTGTTGTTTCCTTTACCATTATATAATGCATTATACACTCTACAATAATAATTTTGTTTTTCCTTTTCTAGGTTTAATACCAAATTCCCTGAAATTTCCAAGACTTCCTTGATCTGATAAATTCCGACATTTCCAGGTCCATTGACACCCTGAAAATCCTTAACTGTAAAGAAACAATATTCCTCACAATTACAATCACAAAATCCTTACAATAATTTAAATCCAAATTTTCTTATAAAAGTTGAATGAAGTGTGTTTGTAAGAAAGGCACACATCAAATGCTTCAGACAAAAATTTCAGGCATAAAAAAAAAAATGCTTATGAATTTCAGTACCTGCATTTGACAAGAAATTATCATATTTTTTAACCTTCCTATTGAGATAATTTTATCAAACAAAATTCACATTTATAACTCAAAAATTCATAACTGGAAAATTTAGTCAGTAAATAATAAATTTACTGTTTATTCTTTTTGCCTTTGAGAACACACGATAAATTTTTTTCTTATTATGTCATGAATTAATCCTAAATTCTTTTATCTAAAATTTCTATATGTATCAAGATCTCTTATTTCTTTGTATGATCTTAAAAATGTATTTTATTTCTATCAATAATTCAATTAACAATTTTTTATTGACTTAAAACATAAAACAGCATGATTATTATTAGTTGTTCCTAAAACACAAAATTTCTATTTATAATTGAATAAAATATCCAACCAGAGGTCAGCAATATCTGTGAAGTTCACAACAGACATGTATCATTCTGTGATACAGGTGTGTTTACAAGAGAGAAAATGATTGTACTTTTTAATTTTATAAAAAAATAAAGCTAGTTGGGCTGCAATTTGAAAAAATTGCAGACAAATTCCCACTGTCGTCTGTCTGTCTACTGCCTCTACCCTTTCTTAATCTCGAGAACAGAGTTACATAGATGAAAACTGAGATCAGATATGGAAGCTTAGAGGTAAGAGGTCCTGATTAATTATGAACTTCCAGTTTGACCTGAAGTCATGTTATTTCAATTCAAAAATTTCCCCCTGAAAAAAGTTAGATTAGGGTCCCCAAACTTTTTATCCCGTCGACCCCTTTATAGAATATTTGCCTTCTTATCGACCCCCAGATTAAGTATTTAACAAAAACATTAAATCACTTTTGCATTTCTAATGTTAAGCGATAAGGAGACCTGCATAACAACCCAACAAAAGAATTTATAGTTCCCATATCTTATAAAATCCACCCAATAACATTAACAGAAAAAGGAGATATTTTCCACTGATTTATAATCTTAAAAAATAATAGCAAAATTATGGATAGATGGAAATTTTCCTATAGTTCTTAAACCGTACATGTCATAATACATAAAATACATGCTTATCTTTGAAAACATAACAGAAGTTATATTGGATGAAAAAACCTCTTACTGTCATTTTGCAACTACTACTGAATGCCTTAAAAATATGTTGGCATGCCTTTTTATTAAAATAGTTGATATTAGTGGGATGGATGTGTCTGAAGAGAAGCAGCAAGATTATTGATATACGGTTGAAAATTGGTAAGTTTTAGTCGCAAATCACCACAGTTTTCCAAGTTCAATCTGTTCCTCTGTTTTGTCAAAATTGCATTTGCGTGGCTAAGCCAGCTTCTACCATGTATGAAGTTGGGAATGCAAGTAAGAAAGGTTCAGCTTCTGCTCTGAGCTTGGAATATTTAGGACAATATTGTTATTGCACCAAAATTCACTGAGGTTTTTATTTTTAAACAATGCTTTAGCTTCGAAATCTACATATATTTCACTCAGTTCATCTTCTAAGCCAGGTTTACTACCTTCATTATCTATTTTTACATCAAATGCATTAGCAAACCATTCAGGAACATGCATATTCTCCAAGTCTTTGAAACATGCTTTAAAGTCTTCTCTTAATTTATCACAATGTGTAATATATATCTCCAAATCACGGACGGAAATCTTTTCATTTTCTTTTAGTATTCGCAAGTTTGAAAAATATTTAAAACTGGATCGTGCCAGTGAAGATTTAAATAGCTCCATTTTTACTTGAAAGGCCATAATGATTGTTCAAGCTTGAATAATTGTAACATTTTTTCCTTGCAAACACTTCTGTACTATCGATATATTTTATATGTATCTTCGATATATTACAATATTTTCTCTGTAAAGGACAAAATATCTACATTTAGATATAAAATACTTAAGAGTGACAACCCTACTAGAGTGTAACAGTGCAACATATGTCTGTGTATGAAGAACTACCAGAATTCATAACATGTTTGTAACACTAGTACAGTTGCCAGATGCGTGAAAACAGAGTAACACATGCTTAAAGCAGAGTAGGCTAAGGCAAAACTCAACTTATAACTAGGGTAGTCAGTAATGTTGTTGATCATATCTGTATTTCAAATTTTTATTGGAATATTCTATTTTTTTCCTAGACAGTTTAATTGATCCTCTTTGGTATTAATCGACCCCCTTTCGACCCTCGTGTATTAATCGACCCTGGAGAACTGTTATCGACCCCAAGGGGTCGATATCGACCACTTTGGGGACCCCTAAGTTAGATAGATGACCAGCATGACTCTATTGCTAACAGGAAAAGGGGCAAGACAATACTAATTTGAGATGGAGAACATATATTTTAAATCAAATAAATTAAAAATATGATTAAAAATTGCAGCTCAGCATTGTGACAATGTCATAATAAAATAATTGCTCGTATTTTGTTCTGGAATGACGATGAGTTTTACAGAATGTTGAGTTATCGAGAGTTGAGTTTCTGGAACTCTATAATCTACATTCAAATTACAATAGAGTTTATCATAATAATTATATTTGATTATACTTTTGTTGATGTCATCTTCACACTTCTAATGAAAACTAAATTTACAAATAATTGGTAAAAAATGTATTGCACAACTTTGTTGGAAGACTATAAAGCAGTTTATTATTGTATACATTTATTATTATTAGCATTTAAAAAAATTGTTAATTATTTAGATAAAACAATTATAAATATTTAAAAAAAAACATTTAAACAAGCAATATACATTTAAAATTTGCTAATTACACTGTTCAATAGAGACATGATTAACTAATCTTATGTAATTTTCAGATGAACAAAAAAAAAGACATTGAAAAATGAGAGAATGGTTCTTGTATGGAAGTTAAGGAAAAACTAAAGAACATAAAGTTTAATAACATTTTCTTTTATTAGAAATAAATGCACTTACATGCTTCAAACACAATGTCTTTTTGTTTGTCTTTTGTATTTCCTTCTGGGGCCTCTCTTCTGATCATCCAGCAGTAATCTGCCAATATTGCAAGGCACATTTATCTTTGTAATGCTTCTCAATGACTGATAGTCTGATGAAAATGCTCCCCGTGTTCATCACTGAGTACACTGTAGTTAATGGGAAAGACATCTAAATGGGAATAGAAGATATATAGTTTCAGGAACATTCTGCAGCCAATTTTCTCACAGGACATTAGAAGTTCATCCACAAGTTGATGAAAGCTTTCAGCTCTGACATTTCCTAACAAAGTAGCTGATACAATTTTGAAAGCATTCCAAGCATCTCTTTCACTGTCCTTCAACCAACTCTCAAATTCCTCATCCTCTTGAAGTTTTCTGATCTGGGAATCAATATTCCCTCCTTGATTTTCTCTGTGGTGATCCTCAAAAATTGCTGACACAAATAGGTAAATGCATCACCATTCCTATTGTGAGCCTTTACAAACTGTTTCATGAGTCCAAATTTAATATGTAGTGGTAGAATGCTGACTTTATCCAGATTGACAAGCAGCTGATATACCAGGCCAGAAGAATGTAGTGTAAGTGATAATTGATGAGGCCAATCCTTGTCATGATTTAATTTGTCACAACTATCCCATTCAGACAGAGCAACAAAATTTTCTGTATCCCTGCTGTAGTTCCATTAATATAGCAATAACTTTAAAATCCAATGCACATCACTCCTGATTCTTGTTCTGAAGTCTAAGGTTTCCATAACTGTATAGATTTCTTTAGTTTGGGTAACATATGCCAGTGGAACAGAAGGCAGCGTGTTGTTGTGTAAAAGCACCAACTTCAAACTGAATCTATAAACAAATGCCATTTATTGCAAGTGTACATGATGCCCAAAGCTGCTGTAACATCATTGACAATGTTACAGAAATTGAGATCACCTTCTTTAGAATAGAACTGCAAAAAACATTGTGTTGGCAGCAAAAGAAGTAACTTTTCACATTTTCTGCAAGGCAATTCCATTGTTTCAACCTGGAAGCCAAGCCATTAGTTCTGCAAATATAAACATTGATTAACAAATTTTTAAATTAATGTCAAACAATTGATAGATTATATCAGGCTATATTAATGCTACTATTATTAATTATTTACAAGTCAGCATTGTGAGTAACCAGTATGGTTATATTTAAATTAATAGTTCTGGAATTGAAGATCAGCTGGAACATAACTAGCAACGTGTCTGCAAGGCAAGCACAAGTTGTGGGTTCAAGCCCTGCTTCAGGTTTATTCTTTTCTTCTAGCTTTTTTTCTAGAACTTGATAAATTTAATAATTAATTTAAAAAGAAATAACACTTAACTCCTACCTCTAGGCCAAATTACTTGATATTTAATTATTAATATTAACAACAGCATTAATATAGTTTCATATAATCTGGCAACCATTTGGCATGAATAGTTCTGCTTTATTCTTGGGTAATTCCAGATCCCTGATAAGATTATTCAGTTCTTCCTGTGTTATTCTGTGTTGCATCTCAAAAATTCAACACAAATTCAGTCAAATAATGATGATCTGCCAATTCATTCATGTCTGGTTCATCTACATCACTCACTATTGTGTNCTCCAAGGGACCAAACAACTATGTACATTTACTTACCATAGGTATCCCTTGATTAATGCAAGTAATAAATTTTTCAATGTTATCGTATATATCAAAATCACATTAATCAAATACAGTGGTACCTCAGTACTTGACTGAACAATCACCACCCACTAGAACAAATTTTTGGTTAATAACAAATATTTTTATTTTAACTTTTGCACTCATCCATAAAGCAGTTCTCAAAGATAAAAATGAATAATTAATTTAAAAATAAAATAAAACCTTACAGCTGCCTACCATTTGTCAGACAAAATTATACTTAATTCGGTTCATTTTTTCCATAAGTGAAAAAAACAAACTGCATGAGGAACACAATTATCAGCATGTTTTACAACCACTTCAAGTGACAGGCCAGATGGCCAAGCAATCAAGGTGGTAGCCTACTGCTCTGGGGACCCAAGATTGAATCCAGATGGATCAAAAAATCCCTGAAAATTTTTTGGAGGTGGTCCATCTGGATATGTCAGTCCCCATCCTTCAAAACCCCATTATGAGCTTTGGTCAAGCTCATAATGGGCTTGCTAAATGCCCTCTTAGTGCCCACAGGGCAAAAAGAGTTAAAAAAAAATAAAACCCCATTTCAGGTGGATTAAGTGTTTCAAAAATACGTGTCTGTGACACACTAAGATTTGTTGCAAATACAAGAGTTGCAATCTTGAGTTGTTATTCAGCAATCTTTAACAATTTCTTCCGGCAATTTCTCTTCAACAGCTTTTGAGGGGAGCCGTGCGTTTTGTATCCTTTAGTTCAAAATTTCCTGAACGAAAGTTTCAAAACCACATCTGACACATTCAGAGTTTAGAAGCATCTTTCCTGTACACAGTACAAGTATTTTTTACTGTTTGTATAATATGATATCCTTTATGAAACGTAGAAAGCATGAATAATATGCTTGATGTGTATTTATCTGCAAACATTTCGGCTTGATTTTATTCAAATGAATTGTGATGTAAAAAAGTTTAAAATAAGCTTCAAAACAAAGAATACAATCTCACATCAGGAATAATGTGTTAAATTTCACAACTTATAATTAAATCACATATTTATGTTAAGTAAAACAGCTGTTAATAAAAATATGCAAAAACTTTCCATTAAAATCCCAATAAAATTACTGTAATAAAGTAATTTTATTGAGATTTTATTGGTAATTGTATTGGGTATATGTATTTTTTGACTTTTTTATGATTTATACATGCTAGGCTTGTAAACTTGTTAAATTTGTGTTAAATTGAATAAAGATACTGATTTTTGTGTTATATGGCCCGATTTTCCCTTCCATTTCTGCATTGGGCAGGTTTTGCTATATACAGGTTAATTTACATTATTTTTTTGCAAAAAATTCAAGGACCAAAGAAATTTTCCATTAATCACAGGTTTTTGCTATATACAGGTTCCATTATAGACAGGTTTGACCATATAAAAAACAAAATCAGGGTGTCCAACAATTTCCAATTTTCCTGAGATTTCCAGGTTTTCAAGATGAAAACCTACATTTTTTCCTGACTGAAAACAACTCACTGCAGAAATTAAAAACAGTTTACAGTTTATTTCATGTTACCAAATAAAACTCAGTTGTAAGGCTGTTCAATTCTGTTTATTAGAAAGCATGATTAATTTTTTCTTTTGATTAATGAATTCATGTATTGTTACTTCAAAAAATGCAGAAGATTGTATATCACATACAAGTTTAATATGACAATTTTATTAAAATATAGAAATTCAAATCAACATTGTCAATCTTATAATGTAAACCAAATACATATTTTCCAAATTATGCAATTCACAGTGAATAAATGTTACAAAATAAAAATAATCATACTCTCTATTAATTATAGAATAAAATAATGCCATATTTTGCAGTTCTCACAATTTCTCATTAATGTTTCCAATCTCTATCAGTTTCTGCAAGAATCATCATCTTTTTCTTTAGCTCTTTCACCATTTCTGTAGCCACCAACTTCTCACCTCACTTTTTTTTTTCTTATTTCTTCTTGTTTACAAGCAACCATAGTTTCCTTGAATCTCTGTGCTGCATTTCAAGTTGCATGGATCAACTGCTTTGATATATCCAATTTCCCAATCCACTTGCAGACATGACTATATCATATATTTTCCAGTAAGCTACAAAGGTCTCTTCTTTCGGTTTTCCATTAAGCATTCTTTGTTGATGGAAAAATCCAGATTCTATATGAGCTTTACTATGAGACATTATTAAAATCATCTTCACAAATATTTCAAATTCTTTTACTTCACCACATTGATATGGCAGACTAAGCCAGAAAGAATCAAACATGTAATTGTTGTCTGAAGTAGCATTTAATTGTATCACTAATTTCTGAGGATGTCAAAATTTCTATATTGCTTATAAATTTTATCAGCTGTAGAACCATTTATCCAGTTATTGGTCTCAAGAGTTATGTAATATCTAGCAGTTTTTGTGCTTGTGCTCTCTATTACTTGTATAATCTGGATTTAGGCATAATAGTCCCTTGATCAATTTGTATTTCAGTGGCAACTTTCCATCAATTTGGTGGTTACAACTCATAAGCATTTTGCAGAGTCTTTTTGAAATTCTAATATCACTGCCAGTTACTATCTTCATTTTAACTTTTCTAATTTTCTAATCTTTGCAGGCATATCCAAGATCTACTATATGTACTGTGCAGAGATTTTCTGCTTTACTAAGATCCACTCAGTAATGGAATTCACAGAAGGTTTAAATTTACTACATGCAATTTACAATCTCAGGATAAGAATAGACTTTTATTAAGGAAATAATTTTAAAAGTAACAAATGCAAGAAATTAGTGACCAAGAAGTGACATTAATTTCATATTGTTATTAAAATAAATGAAAGCATAGGAATGCATTCACCTAAAAACATCTCCCAGTTTTAGATAGTCCAGATATTACATATAAATTATATGAACATATAATTTATATATCAAACTACTATTTTCATTAAAAAAAATTATTCAGTTATGAAATCTATCTTTATTGTCTAATAAATGTAAACTATGTAAATTTACATAGATTTCACTATTAAAATTAACAAAATTTCAATAGATGGAAGACACTCAAACAAGGTAAAATCAATTAAACATAGTGAAATCTGTTCAAATTACAATTAATAGGTTTAACATGCTAAGATACTGAAAACAATACTAATGTCACTTAACATGTTTTGCTTCTGAGCACCTCATTTATACTTTGAATCTAATGCACACTTCATTTCTGTTTTGCAAAAAGTTGAAAAGAGTGCATATTAAAGTACAGTGATACCCTGAACGTATGTGATAGGTGAGACCGAGCTATAACCGTCGAATTTGCATAAGTTGGGGTATAATTTCGCAATTTGTGTAAAATCCAAGTCGGATGTATGTAACAGGGCTGTGGAGTCGGAGTCGTGGAGTTTTGATGTTTTAGCCGGAGTCGGAGTCGGTAGATTTTTACGTGACTCTACACCCTGGCAGGGCTGTGGAGTCGGAGTCGTGGAGTTTTGCTGTTTTAGCCGGAGTCGGAGTCGGTAGATTTTTACGCGACTCCACAGCCCTGGTATGTAAGCTAATAAATGTTCTTGTTAATCTTTTGATTCGTCTTGTTAATCTTTTGTTAATCTTTGTTAATCTTTGAATGGTCTTGTTAATCTTTTGTTGTCTTTTGATTCGTTCACGGTTACAAGAAATCACCATATAGAGTCTCTCAAGTCTCCATAGATATAACAAACACAGAAATAAATAACACAAAATAAATTGTAGCTATGTGTCGATTTCGTGCAACACGTCTGAACATGTAAGCTGAACAATAGTGTGGGGGGAGTGAGTAATCAAGAGTTGCTTGGCACTCAAACAAAAGATGAATTGACAAGATTTGAAAATCACATAACTCCGGGTTTGCGTAAGTCAGGGTAGAATAAGTCGAGGTATTACTGTACAATAAACACAGTAACATCTTTCCAAAAAAAACTGTCATTATTAGAGGAGAAGGTGGTATTATGGAACACTGCGGGTATTATGGAACCACCCCATTTCGAACTGATAATAAAGGCGAACTGTAGCGGAATGTGGCTGATCTGAACTAGGCAGACATCCATAGCAAGGAGAAAACCCCTTTTACTTCAGTTAAACGGTTGTCCGCATTTAATCAGCAAATTTGTTTTTTTCAAAATTCGCAAGTTTTGAATGCTAAGT